TGTTACCATGACAGTGTTGTTGATTGTAAGATAGGTGTTTAGAATTAAATTTCTTCTAGAAAGTTGTAGTGTTAGGTTGGAATTTGCAGTATTTTTGCATTTTTAGTAAATTTTCAGTAGGTAACCATGACAATCAAATGTCAGAAATCAGAGGAAATTGTTTTTACACAAATTTCATCTCTCTACTGTTAATGTAATTGTTGTGTAGTTTATAGATTTATATACATGTAATGATGTATTTTTCATAACCAATCTGCTATACCTGTATATCTCAAACATGACAAATAATTTCAGGAAAAATGCAAATTAACTGTTTCCTGCTATCAATGCATACGGAACGGTGTCGGGTGTAAAAAATGACCAGTGAAAATGAGCCCGGTCCCGTTAGTTTTAAGAATGCACCCGTCCTCTGTTCTCCCGCTATACATTTATAGAACATAAAAAACAAGATGGCGGATATGAAAATTAAGTGAGCGAGCTTAATCCGCCGTATGCACAGATATGAAATAAAACGAGACGAAAAGGCGAATACATTGTTACTCAAGGTTTGGGGACTCCTGATGTTATTAATTTTAAAAACCTTCTTTTCATAAAAAAGGAGAGTGCTGTTTTATTAAGACATTGGCAACAAATTAAACTAATTTTCATACTAACCATATGCTTCACTGGAGTTCATGTATGTTATTTCGTTGTACCTGTGATCCTACCTGTGTGTGACCTGTTACCTGACATTCTACCAGTGTGACCTGTTACCTGACATTCTTTCACTGTGACCTGTTATCTGACATTCTACTGGTGTGACCAGTTACCTGATATCCTACCAGTGTGACCTGTTATCTGACATTCTACTGGTGTGACCAGTTTCCTGACATTCTACCAGTGTGACCTGTTACCTGACATTGTACCAGTGTGACCTGTTTCCTGACATTGTACCAGTGTGACCTGTTACCTGACATTCTATCAGTGTGCCTTGTTACCTGACATTCTACCAGTGTGACCTGTTATCTGACATTGTACCAGTGTGACCTGTTACCTGACATTGTACCAGTGTGACCTGTTACCTGACATTCTATCAGTGTGCCTTGTTACCTGACATTGTACCAGTGTGACCTGTTATCTGACATTCTACCAGTGTGACCTGTTACCTGACATTTTACCTTTGTACCCTGTTACATTCTGCCAGTGTTACCATTGGCTCTGTCGGATACTATCATGATTGAAATAAAAAAAAATGGAAAAGAAGAGAAGATTAAGCAAGATGTTACCTGAATCACATATCCCATTTGGAGCCATTTTAATGGAAAACGGAACTTAAATGAGAGTTTTTTGTTTTCTACACTTACCGAAGCGTCAGGCAGATTGGTCAAGCGAATCTGAATGCATCCAAACGGTTGTTGGTCATCTTGCCGGTTTGGTTGCCATTGTCTTTTACTGGTACGTATCTAGTCCATGATATGACCTTGAATCTAAACCAAAATGAATACTAAAATCGCAAATCTGGTACACGGCTGCTTAAGAATATGAATGACACAGGATTTATGACCTTTATAGAGGATTCTATTCCCCTAACGATAGTCACAAAAATGTTGAGAATTGACCAGGGATAAATCATTAATCAATTTTAATCCATTTAATGACCAGACCAGTTCTGAGGCTGATACTTGTGCTTTTCCTAGATTGTGTACTATATTGATGTCTTGAAACGAATTGGAGTTTATATTTTGTACATCTTTAATTAGTTATCAATTAATATTTAAAAACCTCCCTCCAGTCGCCATTTTTTTCGGAGGAAACTAAGTCAGTTTCTCATAAAAGGAATTTTATGACAACATTTCAAAGGAATAATGTTCAAAAAGTGTATAAACAGCTCTCTTACCTGATAACTTAAATCTGTGACAAAAGTTGATAGGTTGTTGTACGTAAAACTCGAGAAATCACACAAAAATTCGGGAGCGAAAACTAACGTGACCGAACCCAGTCGTGTTTCCCGTTGATATGAAAAGACACGTGATATCAACATCTGACGTCATAAGCAATATGACGTGTTTCCGGTTTTATGACGTATTTCCGGTAATTGGCAGCCCTGGCGGAGATTAGCATAAGTAAGGTCGACAACCGGTGTAAACACATTTTTTTCCATTTCTTACCCATATACATAAATGGAAGCGCTCATGTCATTACCCACTACATATTTCGTAGTTTTCAATTTGTTTTTCAATGTTTATCAGACACTGGGAATTCATCATCATTATTAGATTCTTATATTATCTTTACAATATTATATAACAAACAATGCCTTTACGAATATAGCGCCGAGTTTGTTCTTTTTATAGAAATAAGAATGTTTAATTGGTTCTATTTATTTATTTTTATATAAGGAAATCAGTAATATGTAGATTAGTCTCTGCCTTAACTCGAGAGGGGGTCGATCACGACGATACACAATTTGAACTGCTTGATTCTTGGCTTCACTGAAGCAAGCGCAAGCGCGCGAGCGCGTGTCTGTTTATTTATTTTATGTTTTTCCAAATACACACACTTCATCATCATCATCATCATCATCATCATGGCCATCATCATCGTCATCACCCGTCCGTTAAAACACCGTAAAATCCCTTAAATAAATGAATACATCATTGTTCTCTATCCTCTTCGCCTTTAAAATTAACATTTTTTTAAAATATCAGATTCTGTAAGGTGTGACAAAACAAAACAAACAACAAAATCCAGTATACATTTCCATCACTTCAACAGCGATACCCTCCCACGTTACTTCTGGATTCCCCCTATAAAAATTTTCACTGGAAGGACATGATATGCATTTTTTTCCATTTTCAGTCGATTTAACAAGAAATTATTGCTTGTCATTTACCTCCAATTCTACACTTCCACATTTAAAAACGTCGCTGGTCCTGAACAGGGGTTACATTTTGAATTTTTTATCTACACAACGATATCTTAATGGTTTTTTTTCTGAAATACCGCTATGTAATCTATTGTAAAAAAAATCGTTCACCTGGAGCGAGAAATCAGCGCATGCGCGACGCGTCATGTCCTCAATAGCTGCATATGATGCCAATGTGTCAATATAATCATTCTCTCATTAACGTTAACCATAAACGTCGCTGGTCCTCTTCAAAGGCATGCATTTTGTAAATTTTATCTACAAAACGATATATTAATATTTTTTAGAAATACCGCTATGTAATCTATAGCACAAAAGTCGTTCGCTGTGAGCGAGAAATCCGCGTATGCGCGACGCGGTATGCCCTAAATTATTGCAAATGATACTAAGAGGTCAATATAATCATAATCCAAACTTGAATTCAATAAAACAAGAAATTTGAACAATAAAAAGATGTACTCTCCGGAGGAGTAAATATCAAACTTTGCAGGATAAAGTTTAGCGAGTGATTTCCAATAATTCAATATGGATAAGTACGCGTGCCACAGCTAATGGCTTAGGTAACAGTGACATTGACTTCTCAGTTTTGAATTCCCTTCCAAAAGATGCATATGTGACCAAACTATTGAAAATAACTAACATGTCTGAATCGAAGCTGCAATGGTACCGTTCAGATTTATACGACCGTGCAAGTAAGATACATGGCTGTCCTATTGGAAGGCTAGTGACAAGAAAGTCTACCACAAAAAGTACTGCTGAATGTAAGTACGCCCGCGATTGCTATCAACTCGAACAGTTCATAGCTGGGGACACAGATGTTTGTTTAAGTGATGCAGTTTCCCTTAAATCACGGAATCCTCCCGATTCCCAACAAGTTAAGTCGCACACGCTCCTTCGCTCGATATCGAGTCGATACTGCTGGAGATTGCTAAACTTGTGAAGAACGTTCATGAAATAAGAGACAGTATTAGACTGATAAAGGAAGATAACTCTAAACTTAAATCAGATGTTGCTGACATTAAACGAGAACTTAAAATGTCGTGTGATACAGTCGACAAAATCTTCGTCAATGAAATCTCGAATGGTTCCCCACCAAAGAATTTCAATGACCGTATTCACCTACTTTCTTCGAAAATGGTGTCTATTGACAAATTTCGGTCCAACATTTTATCCCAAGTCAGTACACTTGAGGAGTCGGTTCGCTCCAGCCTCCAGAGCTCCGAGGAACTCTTTGTGAACTCTATGGCGGAGTCTCGCTTGAGAACGGATTCCATTATTCGCGATTTTGGACAGGAAATAGGCAAAGAACTATCTGGCCTGAAATCCATTGTTCACAAGACCTCTCAACTTACGTATCACCCTGATATGCATGGCCAATATTCCTCGTCGCCTCCTATCAAACTAGGCGTGAACTTATCTTCACATTCGCCTGATTCGTCCCCTTCTATATCGGCACCTCAACCACCTGCTTGTCCATCATCTTCGTCCTACTCCTATGCAAAGGTGTGTTCTGCTGATATTTTGTCTGTGCCACCAGTCCCCGCTGGTCCGTCTGATCAACTTGTCACTATTATTCCAAAACACTCTAAGGAAATTCAGTCCGATAAGCATACCGTTACTAGAAATCAACGTACTGCGCCGGATAATCATGCTCCCCAGCCTAAGCTTATTCTGTCTAAGGATTCATATTCACGGAGTGATGACAATGCTAGCGGTTTTGTTGCTGTTTCTAGGAGAAAGACCACACGTCTGTTTCTGAGTGGTATGTCCTCCGGTTGTACAGCCGATGATATCCGTTCTTATCTCGAGCAAAGGAACGTGGCTGCTACTTTCGTCCGTATCCTCAAAAGCAGGAACTCTGATTCCGTCTCTAGTCGTGTAAATATTCTTTCGTCCGATGTTGGTAAAATCAAGGTAGATCGTTTCTGGCCCAAAGGTATTCGCTGCAGGAAATGGTATTCGTATAACAAATATTATGGGAACGGTAATAACGTTGAACCTGTTGATGAACAGTAGCGATCTTTCGATATTTCTGCGAGTAGTTGTCCTTTTCATGGCTTCTCTACGTCTGATGACCTGGAATGTGACCGGTATCATGTCGTCAGCCTCCTACCTTCATGATGCCCTGCAGAAGCAAGATGTCGACATCTGTGGAATCTCCGAACACTGGTTATTTGACGAAAATGCTCACCTGCTTAACAGTATACATCCAAACTACTTGTATTTCGCAGTTTGTGACTTCTCGACGCACGCTCTATCTGATCATAAAACCAGAAAGGGTGGTGTTGCCTTTTTGTGGAAAAAGAACATCTCGAGTCGTGTGACTGTCGTTGACTCAGATGACGATCATATCGTTATCTTGAAGCTGGTCTCTAATTCTAGCGTTTGGCATCTTATACAAGTGTATATACCTAACACGAGATACGGTTCAGATATTTTTAACGACTACGTTGACAAGTTAGATTCTTTGTGTGCCTCGTTTTCCCTACAAGGCTCTGTCATCATCATGGGAGATTTTAACGCTCGCCTCAGTGGCCCTCGCATACCAAACTATCAAAATTATCGAGGTCTCCGTCTCCAACGATGTTTAGACCGATATCAGTTGAGTGCTCTGACTACTTCCTTCTTTTGCTCTGGACCGTTATATACCTATGTACACTCTGATGACGGCATTTCATCTCTTATTGATCATGTGATAATCGATTCATCAAAAACTGACCTCATATCAAACTGTTATATCGGCGACCAACCTTATTTGGACGTATCCAGTCACAGACCAATTTTCTGTGATATTCTTTTTCCCACCGCATCGGCCGTAAAATCTCCTCAGATTGAACGCAGTGTTTTCAAGTGGCCTTCAGATGGCACTTCTTCAGGTACTGAAGTCTATCACGATAACCTTCATCAGTTTATAACGCAGTCCAATCTCATCAGTTTTCGGTTAAACAATATTTCAGACATCGACAGTTATACAGACCTATTGACTAAAGGTATTCATGACACAGCCTTATCGTCTCTCCAAAAGAGGAAGTTTAATAAATTCTTGAAACCCTATTGGAAAGGAGAGCTGAAGGAGTTACATCGCGATATGTGGCGGTTGAGGTGCATTTGGGATGACGAAGGTCGTCCTCGTGATCCTAACTCCCAGTCCTTTTGTTTATACAAGGACGCGAAACGTAAGTTCCGGCGTAAACGCCGCCAGTTATCAGAGAACCATCTTATTACTCTGAATTCCGACATCGAAGAAGCGGCGGATATAAATCAAAAGTCGTTTTGGTCTTTGGTGAGATCTCGTGCTGGTGGTGGATCTCGTGGTTCAGCGGGAGCTGAAGTAATGTTTGGGAACCAGACTGTCAGAGACCCTGCTGCGTTAGCGTTGCACTGGGGCGAGTATTTCTCCGGTATTTACTCCCACTACACTGACCGCCTCTTTGACAATGACTTTAAGTCGTCTGTCGAATCCGAGTTGGCAGAATTCCTAAGCCATGATGCTCCAGCAACAAGCTCTTCCGAAATAACTTTTACAGTGGATGAAGTTAACCTTACCTGTAAAAGTCTTCCTCTTGGAAAAGCTCCTGGCATTGACTCTATTGTATACGAACACCTAAAGTATGCTTGCACTTCACTCTATGTATGTCTTTGTACATTATTTAATGCTTTCATAAGGTTTGAATATGTACCTGTGTCACTCAAACATGGTTTGATTTGCACGTTATATAAAGGTCATAATAAGCCAAAGAATGACCCAAATAGCTACAGAGCGATTTCTCTTCTACCCGTTATTCTAAAAGTGTATGAAAAACTACTCTTGAAAAGATTAGAGTCCATGAACCTTTTTCATATAAATTCATTACAGCATGGTTTTCAAAAACAAGCTAGCAGCTCTATGACTTCATATATCGTGCAAGAAACAATTGCGTACGCTTCTGAACATGATAGTAAATTGTTCACTTCTTTTTTAGACGCGTCTAAAGCCTTTGATTGTGTCTGGCTCGACGGTCTGTTTTTAAAACTATCACATTTGGGTTTTGACAGAAAAATTGTTAGTATGATTATGTCTTTACACAAGGATAGGTATAGTGTTGTTATGTATCAAAACTTTGTGTCTGAAGTGTTCGAGATAAGCCAGGGAACACGTCAGGGCAGTATTATCTCCCCTTGGCTCTACTCTGTTTATATCAACGATTTATTGAATGATCTTTGTAGTTCTGTATACTCGCTAGCTATATCTGATGTTAATGTCACGTGCCCTACGCAAGCAGATGATATTTGTCTTCTTTCACTTACCAAACACAATTTAGATATGCTTATAGATATTTGCTACAAGTATAGTTGTAAATGGAGATTTAAATATAATGCCTCCAAATCAGTAGTTATTGTCTTCAATGAAAGTAGCAATGTTCGCTCACAATCGTATCGTACTTGGTATCTAGGTGACAATGTTGTTAATGAAAGCACAAATGTTAAACACGTGGGTATTAATTTGAATAAATTTAAATCAGGTCGGCCTGATGTTGACGATGTTATCCACAAACTACGAGGTCAGTGTTTTGTTCTACTAAATTGTAATTTATTTGGTCCTAGTATCAATCCCTTGACTGGAGTCCATCTATATTTGTCTGTTGTACTCCCTAGAGGTATGTTTGGTTGTGAGCTCTGGAACTCTCTCTCCAACTCTGATTGGCATCGCCTAGAATCAGTCCATCATTTATGTGCAAAATTAATACAAAATTTCCCACTTCGTACTAGGTCTGGTGTAGCATTGGGAATGTTAGGTTTATCTTCTATACATCTTTACGTAGAGCAATGTCAGCTTCGTTTTTTCGGGGCTTTGTGTAATATCAAAACAACTTGTACTTCAAAGCAACTCTTTTTGTTGCGTTTACATCAAAAACATCTTGGGGTAAATAACGCTAAGAAAGGTTTCATCAACGAAGTTTGGGATGCTTTGCACAAATACAACTTCCGAGGCATCTTACTTGATTTTCTTAATTCTGGGAAATTTCCATCCAAACTTGGCTGGAAATATCTTGTAAAGAATGTCCTTCTGTGTAAAGAATCTGATGACTGGCGTTTACGTATAAACAGCTCGTTAGAATTTCATAGATTCAAAATTCTTCATCCTGATATGGTTCCTGCAGTAATCTGGTCATTTTCTAAACGCCATCCAAATTTTAACAGGACATGTAAAACTATGGCAAAAATGTGGATTGCCCCTCCTACTTGTGAACTTTTATGTGCTCGATGTAAAGGCACTTTTGAAGACGCAGTCGCCCATTGTTTACTTGACTGCAAAGAGCCCATATTAACGTCTCTGCGAGATAATCTTTTTACCAGTTTTGTGGACAAATATCCAGTTAATGTGTATGTATCATTTGACCAGGCGGACAGAGATGTCCAGATAGCGTCTCTGTTGGGTGCCCCCAGTGAGGACATTTATGAATCATTTTATGACGATTCATCTTTGTTTACATTTTTTATTAAAGATTGTCTAATGTTTTCTGAAAAGGCCTACAATATGACTTTTCAGTAAAGGCCATCTCCTATCTAATGTTTGATGTGTTCTGCTAGAAATCTCCATTATTGATGGATTGGTTATTCACATTCATTGTTCAATATTTATATACATATATTCTTGCACTTTTTTCTTTAATTTTCACCTAAATTTACAATATTTGTCATTGTAATTACTCTTCATTATTTGGAGGAAATAAAAAAATGATGATGATGATGATGATGATGATGATGATGATGATGATGATGATGAAGGTGAGAAAAGTACTTGGCACGAGCACAACGCAATGTGACCACAAGATGTACACGTGTATACCAGGTAATTAGAGTGTCATTCTAGCCCTGGACAGCAACACGAGTAATCAGTTATTAAGCTATCTAATTATTTATGATATACTGTAAAATAACTTTCCGTTGTATCATACATCGAGTGATTTTCTCTAGTTAGCGGAAGTGCCGTACGATATTCCAGAGTATCAAGCTCATAGCGTTTATATCTAGTTGTTGTTAACCCGAGCTGGTATTGTTTATCACTGAACAATACAAAGGTAGCTGCACCAGCTGTATATTTTATTGTAAGAAAAGGCATGGATCCCATAAATGGGGTTTAGATTGCCATTTTTGCTCACACACAGGAAAAAAGTCGTTGCATTGTTATATCATTAAAAAATATTAAATATACTAATCATTGTAATTTGATGAATGTGGTAATTTTATTATTTTTGACATTACGATTCAGAATAAAAAGTATACCCTTGCATGTATATATGGTCCGACTATTGACTCCCATTTCCACCGTCTGAAATGAAATATTGACTTATTTGGTAACGACTCATTATTACTGGATATTCTAATTGTATAATCCCTTGTTCCTGATCAAGCGTAAAGCGGAGATATGGACAGAAATCCAATTTTCATATTTGGAGATATGTTTGAAGTCCTCCTTTTGAGGTGGAAAAACACCCACCATCCACCCTTTAGTGTTTTTCTTATACGGGTTTCGTGAAGTCGTCTGTGTGGGTGTACACTCATTTACATACGTGGTGATGTTTCACTTAAAATTTAATGCAGCTTATAAAACCAAACTTACCGAGAGAGTTTTTTTGTTTATAATAACCATTTGGTTATTTTACGTAGCAATATTTTTACGAAAAAAAATGAAATAGTGTGAGATTTTGAAGCTATTGGGTACTGGTGCAGCGGATCTGTTTTACATACGTTCAATATACGTTACCTATACCGTGATACACAAAGGATATCAGGTAAAAATATTAAATAAAATCATGTAAGTGGAGGTAGGGATCGAACTTTAATTTCACAATTTACAAGATGTGATGCCCGACATTACTTCAATGTCTGATTTCGTTGGTATTCTTAAATCCGTGTATTTTGAAGTGAATAGATTTGAAACACCGCGTTTAAGTTTTTTCCTGTTGTATATATAGAATACAAAAGCGAGATCAGAACATGCCTTCGTGAAGAAGTCAAGTGTGACTTTGCAATCAAGCGCGGGCTGCCACGTGAGCAAAGCTCCCGAAAATAGTGCTCTCCTTATCCCCTTTCCTAGTCGCTTTTATGAATGTGGCGATAGCATGTCCGCTACGGTCTGCTGAGTTTATTTATAAACAATCTTGAGGATCTACAGGAAATGTGCAATTCCACAAAGGTCCGTCTGCTAATACGTTTATTTAATTTTGTAATTAACTGTCGTAAATTGCATACTGTCGATATGCTGTATGAGCCAGTGTCCCTTATAATGAATGTCGGGTTATGTCATTCAGACTGGTTTGTACAGACATATATAACGTAACCTCGAGAAATTGACGATCGGGACAATTATTTGTTTTTTCGGCTAATACAGCTAGATATCTCGGATAGTGGAAGAAAGTCAGTATAGATCCAGTTTCGAATAAAAAGTTAATAAAACAACCATTTGATTTAAACATATTTCTTCTCAAATATCTATTTACAAAATAATTGGACATAAGTTTTCACATTTCATCACCGTACTTTTCTTGAAAATACATCATAGATACAAGCAATAGATCGATAGGGCAATTTACGCCATTTATTATTAAACTATCTTATATGGAAATGAAGAGAGAGAGAGAGAGAGAGAGAGAGAGAGAGAGAGAGAGAGAGAGAGAGAGAGAGAGAGAGAGAGAGAGAGAGAGAGAGAGAGAGAGAGAGAGAGAGAGTCTGGATTTATAGGTTTATCAGATACACAATGATTAGTGAGATAAATGTTAAATGGACGTCTCTTTGTCACAGCAAGGAATACCATATCGTCCGAGAGGAAATTTTATTTTCATTACTTCTGTATTACTCTCATTTTTCAATAATTTCGTCAACAAAAAATATAATCTCAGGTTACTGTTAAGTGTTGAGTTTGTTACACGGGCGACCCAACCAGTATGGATCCGGACCTGTCACATATATACCCGTATACAGGTAAACTTTTGTTGCCCGAGGCACTACTTAATCACCACTAAAACTATATAGGATAACACTAATTCATGCAAGTCCAGTGTTATTCGAAAATTGTCGAATCAAATAGTGTTTTTATAATCATCGATCAATTTTAATGTTCCTGTGATCGCAATTTAGTTATAACTTCACGAATTTTCCGTTTAGTTTTCAATCTGTAATATTAACCAACCATTTTTACCAAACAGCACAAAATCATGTATGCACACGATGCGCACAGGAAGGTTTTGGTGTGTTGTGTGTTGCCACAACTGTACATCTAGGGAGCATTTCTTTTGAATTGATACACGCGCTTGTTTTTCCGTCACTGCCGAATACAGTAAAAATATATGTGACTAGAGCATTCCAACAAAGGCAGCGCCGGTTACAAGATAAATAGGTATATTTCTCGATTTCAATATCTTCATGTTCTTGTTAAAGTATACGAGAAGGCTTGACCTTAAATAGCTTCGTATCTCCGGAAATAGAGATATATCCTATGAAATAGGTATACTTAATACTATTCGAATAATTGATCAGGTGATAAAAGCCATTACCTGTTTTAAACAAAATGAGTGTTGTAGATGAAATTCAGTTCGTGTGATTTTCGTTCATAGAGCCTATATTTATTATTATTATCATTATTTGCATACAGGGGTGAACTTTGAGTATACATGAACTGTGCTGTTTTACGTATACGTTACTATGGATTCGAGCCAATTGTTTTCTAATGACTCTTTCGGGTCTGTTGATGCAACGCTATCAGATCTGACACCTGATGCTAATGGCTTAGGTAACAGTGACATTGACTTCTCAGTTTTGAATTCCCTTCCAAAAGATGCATATGTGACCAAACTATTGAAAATAACTAACATGTCTGAATCGAAGCTGCAATGGTACCGTTCAGATT